AGGGGGAGAGGGCAGCAAGGACACTACCCTCTGCGCCCCAGCTGTCCCCAGGGTCCAGCTCATCATGGGGGGAGCAGGAGGATGGAGCTGGTTATGAAGGTGGCTCGGGCCCCAAGTCCCTCTTCTCCCGGTGACCTGTGCTCGGGGCATTGCACAGACAAAGGCGAGTTGACTGTAAACTGCTGAGAAAATGACTGCAAACCAGCCAGGACCGCCCCAGCACCAAACATTCTGACAGCCTGGGGCTGGCCATGGAGGGGGCAGGGCTGGGGAGAGCCAGGCCCAGTCCCCCAGGAGCCTCCTCCCTCCTGCCTCCTCCCTGGACACCCCCCAGCACAGCCACCCTAGTGGGAGGTGAGGAGGAGACTGCAGGTGGTGGGGGCGGCCTGGGGCCTAGAGCCCTAGATGCCTGGACCAGCAGGGCCCTTAGATGCACCCCCTTCCTCACCCCCATTCCTGACTCATGTATTGTACAAATGAGGAAGCTGAGGCTCACAGAGGGAAAGGACTTGACCAAAGTCTCCCAAGCAGTTGGAGGCAGAGCAAGTTAGAATCCATGCTCCTCTCTTGTCTCCTTGGGTCTGTCTGACCAGCTGTGTGACCTTGGAAAAGCCGCACAACCTCTCTGAGCACTAAAGGCTTACAACTCCTGACTGCTCACCCTACAGGGTTGTTGGGAGGAGCGATAACAGCAAGGGTGGCAGCCATTCACCTAAATAGAATGCCCTACAGTTTATAAAATATTCCTACATCCCATATCTTCTCTGTTCATAATAACTCTCTGAACTGGGGGGAATAGGAGTTTGGGGCTCCATTCTGCAAATGTAAGAAAATGACAAAGGTCACACAGAGAGTTTCGGACAGAGCTGGAACTAGAACCCGGACTCCCACACCAATGCCCTCCCCATCGCTAAGCCACTCACGAGGCTGGGAGGGCACTGTGACTAAAGGACAGAGCACTAACCACCCCATAGCATCAGGTTATGCGGACCCCCAGCACTCTCAGCAGCCCTGGGACGCAGCGGTAGCCTTAAGTCACACACATCTGAGCTCCAAAGTGTGACACTTTGGAGCGGTGGGACCTCGCCTTTCCGAGCCTTGGGCTGCGCGGTAAAATGGAACTGCAGAGGGACAGAAGGCCCCCAGGAGGCCCGCGCTGCACCGTGAGTGCAGGACTGCCTGGCAGGAGGCAATCGCTCATTGACTTTGGTTCCAAGCACATGGATGACTGTGTGTTGGGTTTCACTGTGCATCCTCATGGGCCTAGTTCAGGGCTCCAGATCCAGGGGGGCTTCTGATCAATCCTTATGATCAGAGAGGGATGGATGGATGGACAGATGATGGATGAGTGGAGAGAAAAGGGAGTGCACAGCGGGTGTATGAAAAGAAGATTGAAAGATGGGCATTATGCCTGGGATAGAGGCTCAGCCGTGCCCCCTGGCCCCTGGCCCCCAGCTGACCTGCCCCCACCACCGCCTACCTTGGGGGTAGCACTGGCACATGCTCCAGATGACACCCCCGATCACCATGACGCTGCCCATGGCGTAGAAGGTGCCGTAGACTGGGCCGTCGTGCTCATGAGAACGTGCCCAGGGCCAGCAGAAGAGCCCAGCACAATGAAGCCGATGCGGAAGGTCTCTCGTCTGCCATGGCCGCCCTGCCAGACCACGGTCTGTTCGCTGCCCGCCGAGGGTGCCCGAGGTCCTGCGTGGACACCCACGATCCTCACACCCGGAGGGATGAGGCTCCGGGATCACTGCAAACCCAGACTTAGGGCTGCAGAGGGGGCAGGTCCCTCAGGTCCCGCCGCAGCTCCTGGGCCACAGTTCTCCAGGCGACAGCTACGCTTCAATGGGCCCGGCACCACCACCACCTTCACTCCTTCACCTTCCCTCTGGGCCCAGCAGGAGTGTGTGTGTGGCTCCGAGTGAGGGAGAAGCCAGGAGGGAGAGGGGTGGTTCCAGGAGCTGGGCCCCGGCCAGGGCTTTGACATCACCTCATTTGCCTGCGTGGGGCTGAGCTGGGTGGACAGGCGGCCCACACCGTCCAGTCCTGGGAAGGCGGGTCCAGTGCGCAGCCCAAACACACCAGAATGCCACTGGGAGGTTCCAGGATCCCACAGGCTGGCATTTTAGAATCCGGAGGCATTCTGGACTCTTCAAGGTCATGTGCCCCTCTGAGGTCAGGAACAGTAGCCCATATTTACAGATGGTGGCTGCGTGCGTGGCACGGTCCTAAACATGTTATGTGGTACCCACTGAAGGGGAACCCCGTGAGGCACAGACTTTATGAGGACACCGGTGCACAGACAAGTCATTGCCAGGGTGACACAGCTAGAAAAGGCACAGCAGCCGGCATTCGAACCCAGAGGCCATGCCCCTAGCCACCCTGGGATACTCCCTAACTGTAGCAGGAGGGTTAAACGTTCGGGCCCCGGGGGCAGGCACATTGCCTGGGCTTGGGTTCTGGGTCCTCTACCCTGGGGCAGTGTGACTTTGATCAAGTCACTTCCCTGTGCCTCAGTTTTCCTCCTCTGTAAAATGGGGCTAATTACAGCATCTCCCAGGACAGAGCTGTCTGCTAGCCTGGCCTCCCTGGGTTCCTCTGTGAGCGGCTCCCAGAAAGGCTCAGGTGCCTGGATGCCCTTGTAGGGTGTGAATGACTGACAGCAATCCCCTTGCCTTCTAATCTAGGAAGACGCCTTAGTTCTAAGAAGGACATTGTAATGGTGGGATTCCAGTTCTGGAGAGAGGCTGCTGGGAAAAACCAAATTCCCTTACAGGATTGTAGGAAAATGAGGACTGTGTGTCTCTAAAAGGAAACGTTACCTTGTCGTTTGTACAGACTGTGATTGCTAATGTGGGATCGTTGCTTCTATTTGGCGTCCTGGCTTAGTAGGTTGGAGATTTTCTACTTGTTGTCATCCCCGTCCCCCTTCTCCCCAATAAGAGCTGTGCTTCCAGACGCCGTGCCTACACTCACACCAGACCCTCTGCCTGCTGTTCTGCCCTCGCACACCTTTTCCAGCAGCGGTTTCTCCTTCATCCGCTCTGAGATCCCAGCGGGTGTGCGCCCTGCAGTTTGCAGAGGAGGTCCCTGTCGCAGAGCTCAGGAGAGCCTCCCGGGAAAGGTTGCTGAGGGTCTCCGAGAAGGGCTGAGACCCACCAGGTCATGTCCAGGTCTGATTGCCCGAGATGGTGGCTCCACTCTTGGCTTTAGTTTTTTAAATATCTGTTTTTATTGATTTTTAGAGAGAGAGGAAGGGAGAGGAATAGAGAGATAGAAACATTGATCGGCTGTCTCCTGCATGCCCCATACTGGGGATTGAGTCTGCAACCCAGGCATGTGCCCTGACTGGAATCGAACCAGTGACCTCCTGGTTCATGGGCCAGTGCTCAGCCACTGAGCCACACTGGCTTGGCTTGGCTTTAGTTTTGTCACCTGAGTGAGGACTGAGGGTGGTATTGTTATTGTGCAGGACCTAATGGAGGAGAAAATGTGTGCTTATCAGTAGGACAGGACCCACCTAGGAATCACTGTTATCATGATCTCACAGAGAGGACCGGAGAAGGGAAGCAGCGAGCGCCCCAGGTCCAGAGGGGCCCAGCCTGCGCTCTCTGGCCCTGGCTTCAGGGGCGGTGGGAACGGATCTCTGTGGTCCCGGTCCAGCAGGAGCCTCTCGCGCCCCCTTGTGGCGGTGGAGCATGCGCTCGGCAAGGTGCTTTCACACCCTTTGGGTCATGCCCCTGTCCTTCCACCCGCCCCGGAGAGGGAAGCAGGAGAGGAGTTATTATGCCCGTTTCACAGGCGAGGAAACTGAGGCCGGGGAGGAGAAGGGACTGGCCACGATCTCCCCAAACTGAGTTTGTGGCTGAGCAGAGACCGGGACCCACACCCCCAGCCCCAATATAGATGGATCTGGTCCTTAACCATTCCCGAGAGGCCTCCCCGTCACCAGAGCACTCTCCTCCTCTCCCCACCTTTCCTTTCCTCTCTATGACCCCGCCTCCTTTCTCCTTCTTATCTCCTCTTTTTTTAAAAAGATATATTTTATTGATTTTTTTACAGAGAGGAAGGGAGAGAAATAGTTAGAAACATCGATCAGCTGCCTCCTGCACATCTCCTACTGGGGATGTGCCCGCAACCCTGGTACATGCCCTTGACCGGAATCGAACCTGGGACCTTTCAGTCCACAGGCCAACGCTCTATCCACTGAGCCAAACCGGTTTCGGCATCCTCTTTAAAAAAAATGTAAATGTGAGGAGTAAGAAGCTCTGGGCCAAGTAGGCGCTCAGCTAAATGGTCTAATCTAACCTCTCCCACAGAGCCGATGTGAGAGGTACATGGGGACAAACAGGTGTGCATGGTGCTGTGACAGCGCTGGGTTACCTACCCCTGGTTCCCATTCCCCTCCCTGTGGCCTCTGACCTTTACCTCCCTCCCCTGCAACGTGGGGGAGGAGAGGTTGAGGAGTCTGTCCTCTTCCAGCAGGGGGCGCGCTCACCACTGTTTTCTTCCTGTCGGAATTTAAGATCCTCACAATATCCTCAGAAGCAGGGAGGGGAAAGATCACACCTATTGACAGATGAGGATACTGAGGTTCATGGAGGCAAGGTGAGCGTCTTAAGGTCTCAGGACCTGTCAATAGTAGAGCCAGGATTCAAACCAGCCCCCTCAGTCTCTTGTTGAGCACCTGCTCTGTGCAGGACACTCAGAGGTATGAGGCACTCTGACACACGCGGGGTTTCAGCGAGTGATGGCACTTGTCCTTCCTTCTGGGATAAAATATGGTAAGGGCTCTGAGATACGCTTGAGGTCCAACATGTGCACGAGAGAGAGAGAGAGAGAGAGAGAGAGAGAGAGAGAGACTGGGGGTTGAGGTGAGGAATGAAGGGGGAGTCACACAAGGGATCCTTGAGGAGTCAGCTGCAGTTCTGTCAGGGCAATAAAAGCAGTTCAGACAGAGAGCAGCATGTGCAAAAGCCCAGGGCAAGTAAGCACTGACAGGGCTGGAGATACAACTCTAAATGCTATGCACACACTTGCCCTACACTGCAGGCTCCTCCTCTCCCTCCCCAGACCTACTCCTCCCAGGTCAACTCCATCCTTCTCCTGTTCTCCGGGCCAGTGCCTACATATCCTGGCTACAGCCTCCCCTCCCCTCTCACACCTACATCCTGTTGGCTCTACCTCCAACGTATAAGAATCCAATCACTTCTCTCCCCCCACTACTGCTCATCGCCTGGCCTGAGCCCCGCATCTCTGTCCCCCTAAGTGTTCTCTGCTCTTACCCGTGTCCCCTGAAATCTCGTTCCAATCCGAATGCCAGGTCAGACCTTGTCACTCCTGCTCAGAACCCTGGAATGACTTTCTGTCTTACCAGTGTAAAGCCAAAGACCTCAAATGGCCTGGAAGAGCTTAGACAATTGGCCCATGTCGCCCAGCCCATCTTCTGCCATGCCTCCTCCCTCCCTCCCTCCAGCCACTCTGGCTCCGTGCTCTCCGTGGGACGCACAGGCACCCTAGGAAGGGTAAACGGCCTTGCTGTTCCTGCTGCCTGCAATGCTCTTCCTCCAGATCTGTGACGGCTCCCTCCCTCACCTCCTTCAAGTCTTTATCCAAATGTCAGCTTTCCAGTGAGGTCTTCCCTGGGGTGATAGCACCAGCTTCCCCAGGTACTCCCTGTCCTCCCAGCTGCCCTGTTCTCTACAGAACTCACTGCCTTCATTCATTCTATATACATCACTTATTTGTCTCTTGTCTGTCTCCCCTCACCTAGGACTCGAGTGTCCAGATGGGGACTTTGTTCACTGTAGTATCCTCGGGGGCTGGGACAGGGTAGGCTCTGGATTCGTATTTGGGAATGGAGGGATGGGCGTCAGTTCCGGGGGAGAGGGATGCTAGAGAGGAAGCACAGGCTGGAACCTCCTGAGGTCACGCTAAGGTCTCCAACGTCTTTCTCAGGAGTCAACAGAGTGCCTCTAACCGGGGTGTGCAGCGGACTGGCAGATCAGACTTTGATTTTACAACGATCCTCTGGTTTTGAGGTCAGGTCAGAAGAAGCAAGAAGAGATGGCGGCAGTGAGGGCGACTGCCAGGCTCTGGCAGAAACCTACAGGGACAAGGCTACAGAGAACAATTTTTACAAGTAATTAGTTGCTGGGGAGGAGGGGGTGGTGTGGAAATTTCTGACTGATTTGGGGTGGAGAGCTGCAGGGGTCAGGGTCACCCGCCAACCCAAAGGGCAAGCTGAGGGAAGGTGGGGGACAGGCCTAAGCTCTGAGGGTCCCTGACATCCCAGGCCTGGTGGCAGGCACCGGATGTGGCCTCTGAGTGGTGAAGACGCCAACAGGAGTGGTGAAGACGGCCCCAGGAGGAGAGAAACCAGGAAGCAAACTGGTGCCTACTGGGGGCTGTGGAATGGCAGACGTGGCCTCACAGGGCTTCTCCATCCCACGCCCTGCCTGGGAGCACAAGGGTCCCCAGTTCACAGCGAGGCCGCTGCAGCTCAGAAGGGTCGGGTGGCTTGCCTGACACGAGACTGGCTCCATGGCTCTGACTCAACCTCCAAGGTGCTGGTGACCTTGAGCAAGTCATCACCCCTGCTGGGGCCTCGCACAGAGGAATTGGTACAGAGAGAAAAGCAGAAAAGGGCTTTCCAGTCTTCCAGCCCACCCCGCCCTCCACGCCTTCCAGCTCCCACCAGGCAAAGGAGGGGCCTCCTGGCCAACCTGCAACTCATTAACTCACCTGCCTGGGGGAGAGGCCTCACTTTGGGGTAGGAGGCAGGCTGGGCTCTGCTTCCCAGCTGGGATCCTATTAACCCTTTAGGAATTTCAGAGAGAGATAAATCCCCACCCATATCCTTGGGATGCATATGGTGTGTGTGTGGAGAGAGAGAGAGAGAGCAGCTCAAGGTCTGGCTCTGCCTTTATTCTCTGTGATTTTACCTCCCTGAGGCTCAGTTTCCAGGCCTGTTAAATGGGAACACCACCTGCAGCAGAGCAGGCTTGAGGATGTAAAACCAGGGCAGAGGGCGGCCCAGCATACAGTCTGCCCTCAGTGAATATGCAGCTGAGCCCCAGGACTCGGAGTCCCTGCTTGCTGTGTGACCCTGGAAAGGTTACTTAACCTCTCTAAGCTGGCCTTCTCGTCTGTGAATGGGGTGGCACAGAGATGTAGGGCTGAATGATGTAGCTGGACAGAGAGAGAGGGGAGGTAACCGGCTCCCTGTCATAGGAGATATGGGAGCAGCAGCTGAATCTGCCTCTGATGGAGGGGGTGGGGCTTACCTCTGTGAACAACTCTGACAGTCACTACATACACCATAGACACCTGCCACCGGGCTGAGACAGCTGCATCTATTAGGTGCATTAGCACTGAGCTGCAGCGTCAGTGTGAGCTTTCATGTCAGCCGCTACCATCTGGTTTAATCCTCTCAGCTGAGCTCTCTGAGGCGGAAGGTGATGCCACTATATTTCCCAATTCCCATTTTATGGATGAGCACACTGAGGCAGAAAGAGGAAAAGCCACTTGTCTAAGGTCACTCAGCTGGTCCATGGTGGTCTGAATGCAGAGTCCATGTCCTTTTGGTTATAAACTCAGTGTGACCTTGGCCAGTTCTGGCTCTGCCTCAGGGCCCCACTTTTTTCATCTGCACAATAAACTCTCCCAGCTCTACCTGCCGGCCGGAGGAGTGCACCCTCTGGGCGCTCTGGCCTGCCCGGCCCCCGAGACTGCAGCCCCACACACATCACATGGGGCAGAAGAACCACCAGCTGGGCCCAGGCAGCCCATATTGTCGGGAGAGATAATGAAATGGATTTACTTTAAGCCTCTTGTTACACGGCAACAGATGAATAAAGCAGCACTGAGAAGCAAGCGTCCGTGGAGCGCCTGCTGTGAGCCAGGCACTGTGCCAGACACTAGAAGCAGCTCATGCATCGTCTCTGGACTCAGGGCCTGCGAGGGGCCTTTCCCTTCCTCTCACTGTGGTCTGATCCAGCTGGTATTGTCTCTCCAGGAATGACAGCAGCAGCAGGGATGACGCTCTCGTAGCTGGGCGGAGGCGAGGGGGGCTGGCCCCCAAGCAGGGCAGCCCCGGAGGCGCTGCACGGCAGGTCTTCCTCCGTGGGGTACGCAGGTGGTGCCAGGGGGCCCTCAACCAGTGGGCAGTGCACGGCCTCCTCATACGTGGGGATGGCAACCAGCTCTGGGGTCCTGGAGGGACAGGAGAACAGAGGCTGTTAGCGGGGGCGGGGGCAAAGCCACTGCGTGCCAGGGAGAGAGATGGAGGGCCCTGCCTTGGGCCAAATTCCTTGCGGGTCCCCTGGGGCCCCATGGACACACTTGGAGCTTGGCATGAGCTGCTCTGCCAACCCCAGCTGTCCATCCCACCCACCCTGCCTCCCCCACGTGCTCACCAGGCCTCCTCAGCTCTCGGTAGGGAGAGTCCTCACCCGCCTCACCCCTCCCTGCTGCTCGTCCCCACTGGCCCTGAGACTCCTCCGGAAAGCTTTCCTGACTGCTAGCTCCCCCAGCAACGCTCCCATAGTGCTCTGGGCGCCCGCAGTGCTCTCCTGCCCCCACACAGACCCCACCTGGTTGTCCTCTAGGGCAGGGACTGACTTTGAGGGTCATGGAGCTGAGGGCAGATGCCTGGGGTGTTTGTTGAAAGACTGAGTGATAGTCCACAGGCAGAAGGGCTCCCAGCTTACTGTCATAGCTCTTTTTTTAAACATACTTTTATTGATTTCAGAGAGGAAGGGAGAGGGAGAGAGAGAGAGAAACATCAATGATGAGAGAGAAATATCGATCAGCTGCCTCCTGCACGCCCCCTACTGGGGATCAAGCCCACAACCCGGGCATATGTCCTGACTGGGAATCAAACCAGTGACCTCTTGGTTTCTGGGTCGCCGCTCAACCACTGAGCCACACCCGATCGGCTGTCATATCTCTCACAAGAGCCAGAGTTGTGGACGCTCAGAGCAGGATGGGAGACCTCAGCCCTCCTGCCCGCCTGGACGCCTGAGGCCCTGATGTGGTCCGTGCGCCGAGGGAGTACCTCTGCTTGGCCACCCCGGACATACAGTCAGCCACGCCGGTCCGAGCAGCCTGGCTTTCCTGAGACCGGCCTCCAGTCCCTGAAATGACCCACCGGGCAGGGACGAGAGGCAGAGACCAGGTCCCGAGGCTCCTCCAACCAGGCTCTGCAGCTGGATTCCAAGAACAGACCCCCAGCCACTCAAGTGCCGATGGGAATGAACCAGCCCTCAGAGGGCCCCAGGGGGTCACCTCTGGGGAGTCCCTTTCCCTTCCCCGCTGAGGACTGGGGGGTGTCACTGATCCTAGGCCTGCTTCTGCTTTGGGGACGATACTGTCAGATACAGGGGCTGACTAGGTGATCCTGAAAGTCCCTTCCCACCTCAGTCCCTCGAGGCCTGGCTGTGAGTCTGGGCACTGGCTGGTTCAACTCCCTGTTCTGCCACATTCCTGGTGGGTCACCAGGGTCAGTAACTCCATTAATCTGGGCCTCAGTTTCCCCTCCGTAAATGGGGACAATAATGGCCCCTCTCCCACAGAACTGCTTGTCACATGCTCTGTAAATGGCTGCCAGCCACCAAGTGTCAAAGGTCTCCTTGAGGAAGGGGTATGGGGAGCAAAGCTCACCCCAGACCTCCCGCAGGAAGGCTGTCACTCGCCCAGGGTCACCAGTTTGCAGCTGGTGCGGAAGCCGTTCAGTCCACACAGTGGACCTGCCTATCTAGACAAAGGGGCGGCCGATGGCAGAGGCTGGCCCAGAGGACAGAGAGGAAGTGGAGGGGACTTCGCTCCAGGGGTTAGGAGGTGCCAAGCTGGGACGTGGAGGGGACTTCGCTCCAGGGGTTAGGAGGTGCCAAGCTGGGGACCTGCGGATGCGCCTCGTGTGAGCACCCATCACCCGCTGGGGACATGGCGTGTCTCTGGGCAACGTGTCTTCTCAGCCCAAGCCCAACGCAGCCCTCAGAGCGGCCCAGGGGGAGGCAGGCTTGCTGCTCCAGCCACAGACAGGCCATGAAGCAGGCAGTGTGATGGAGGGCCCAGCCGGGAGCCAAAGCTGGGATTCCCCATCCAGTGCTCTTCCAAACTTCTCACAGACCCTCCTCCTGAGCCAGCCCAGGAGCCTCGCAGCAGAGGAAGCGAATAAGGGACCTCATCCTTCTCTGCACTCCCAGCATCCTTTGCAGGTGAGGGCAGGCGAAGATCATTGCTCCTGGAGGCAGGCAAGCCAGGTTCTATTGCTGTGTGACCTAGAGTGTTCACAACCCTCTCTGAGCCTCTTTCTCCTTATCTGTAAAATGGGGGGAACGGTTTTCATTTAATAGATTCAAGGCAGAGAAAAATGGGAAAAGCTTTGACAACACTCAGAAAAAATGGAGGTAAGAAGGCTTCCAGCGCCCCACCTCTCCCGCCTTGGTCACCTCTCAGCCACACCTCTGCCACGCCCCTCTTCTCCAAGCCTGAAGACATGACACAGGCATTGGGTATGCGTGGGGCCACCCCAGCAGCTAACCGTGGGCAGGGCAGGGCATAGGTGAGGTGAACCTGCAGCAGGAAGTTTGCTTAGAGGGCAGACTGGAGTGGCCCTCGTGCCACCCACTGGGCCAGTTGGGCCCACCCAGCGCCAAGTGTCCATGCGGGGTGGCCATAGCGCACACTGCAGAGGAGGCTCTATCCATGGTGCTTTGGATGTGGCACCCTGCAGTGCCGTGGGGCCGGCTGCCACTAGGGTCCCATGCACAGGGAGCTCCACGGGGCTGGGCTCACCACTCTCTGGAGCCTGGTTGGAGCCAAAGACCTGGCCTGGCGCCAGTCCCCCGCCCTCAGCTGAGCCAGGCAAACATGGTAGGAAAAGGGATGAAATACTACCTGCCAGGCACTTAAGCCCTCTAATCTGTTTCACATTCATGACAACCTTGGGTGGTAACATCTCTCAGCCATTGCACAGATAAGTGAAAGTCCAACACCAACCGGGCAGCAAAGCCCCAGCTCCGTCTGGCTGCAAAACTCAGCCAACTCCATCTATCACACCTCTCCCCACCCAGCGCCTAATCTCTCCAAACCTCAGCTTTCTCATCTGTAAAATGGGCCTAATCCTTACACTTACCTCATAAGCTGCTCCACTTATGAGCAGTTAAGGCTCAAATCAGTTAGTGGGCACAGCATCCACTGCAAACTATAAAGCATCCTAATGGCAGCAAAAGGTAATGTGTGCACGAACTTGAAAGTGTACACACTTCCCCACCTGTCCTCTCCTCTGAACCTACAACACTCCTAGGGAAAGGGTCTGTTGCCTGCAGCTGACAGATGAGGAATTAGACACGGCTCAGAGAGTCTAAGTAACATGCCCAAGGACACACAGCTTATAAAGGAAAGGGCAGAGACTGCAACCCTCCTGTCTGAATAGGACCAAGGGTTCTCTGCTGTGCTCACTGAGGGGGGTGGCCCTGGGGTGCATCCTGTCTAGCCACCCTAGTTAGGGGCTAACACGTAAGATGGGCGCCCCCAGAGGGCAGGGGTTTTATCTGTTTTGTCCAGTGTGGCGTTGTCAGTGCCCTGCATAGGACCCACCACACAGTACTCGGTAAATATTGTTAAATGTGTGAAATAACAAGTAGAAAAATAAATGGAGAATGAGGTCCAAGAGAAGAAAAATCCCGGCTAAGCCATCAGCCCAGAAGGCCTCTCTGACCTGGGTTTATCTTCAGAGAGTGAGGTGCCTGGGACAGGAGCCATAGAGTGACCTCCCCCTGGGGGCCAGATGCTGGTCTCCCAGGCGGCAGGGCATGAACAACAGCAGCCTCCCTGACCTCCAGCCACCTGGTTCTGAATCTAAGACGGGTCTCCAACCTGGAGCACTCTGCGGCCTCCTGGGAGGGCCTCCTCCCTGGCCCGGCTGGGAGTGAAGGCCGGGTGGCTGCACCTGCAGCTGTGGCCCAGGCCCTGTTGGGCCAACATGGCTGTGTGTATAGACAACATCCACCCCTACACTCAGGCCACCCTGGGTAGGGAGGGCCAGGCTCCGGGCCAGAGGGCCCTGAGGCCTGGCCTGGTTCCAGCTGACCACTAACTTGTGGTGTGACCAGTCACTGGTCTCTCTGCAACCGGGTTCCCATCCAAAAAGTGAAGAGTTTGGCTGGAGAGCTCCCGAGGCCCTGCCCGTCTAACAGTCGGGTCAAACCAAGGCCCAGCCGTTGGACTAAGTGGCCTCTGTTGAATACTCCATTGTCTCTGACCTCAAGGATTCACAAGCCAGTAGTGGGAATAATCTGTTACATTCCTTAACTCAGCATGCATTCCCGTCCCCCCTTTTAAATATATTTGTATTGATTTCAGAGAGGAAGGGAGAGGGAGAGAGAGAGATGGAAACATCAATGATGAGAGAGAATCATTGACCAGCTGCCTCCTGCATGCCTCACACTGGGGATTGGGCCCGCAACCTGAGGATATGCCCTGACCGGGAATCAAACCATGACCTCCTGGTTCATAGGTCGATGCTCAACCACTGAGCCATGTCAGCTGGACAGGGCACCAGTTCTTACTTCGCAGGGGAAAGAGGGCTGGAGAAGATGTATGCAGGCCCCTGACATGTAGGTACACCCAATACTTGGTCGAATGAATAAATACATAATAAGTGCAGGCATAATTCACTTACTCAACCAGGCAAACATTGACTCTTGGTATTGGTGATATAAAGCACAGATATACTTACAGAACATAAACACATCTATATGTATAAAAGCCTAAGCGACTTTAACAACTGGAATGACCGGTTGACTAGTCACTGTGACACGCACTGACCACCAGGGAGCAGACGCTCAACGCAGGAGCTGCCCTCTGGTGGTCAGTGCGCTCCCACAGCCAACCTCTCTCTCTACCCGCCTCCCCTGCTCGCCAACCTCCCACGGTCCCTCCCCCCTGCCAGACGGCCCTCCTGATAGGCCTTAATCACCAGCCAGGCTGAGTGACCCCACCCATGCACAAATTCGTGCGCCGGGTCTCTAGTATATAATGTAACTGTGGTATTTAAACTTCACAGGGGAGGATTGAGAAAAGAATGCCTCAAGAGCCTCCTAAGAGGGAGTAAAAATGAAAATGAAGCTTGAGAAATGTTGTCTATTGCAAGATTTTCGTCTCTGCCCCCCCCACCCTCCCTTGAGCCTTTGTACATGCTCTTCTGCCTGCCTAACCTGCCTCTCGCCACCTTAGCCTCTTGAGGAAAAGTTGACATTTACTGTGCACCTACTGTACGCCAGGCACTGGGCTAAGTTCTAGGTACACATCATCTCATTTAATTCTCCCTGTGTCCCCTGAGCTAGGGAACGGGTAACAGCACAGACTCTGGGTCCAAGTCCTGGCCCTGACAGACACTACCTGGGTGTCCTTGGGCAAGTTACTTACTAGTAACATCGTGGTGCCTCCGTTTCCCATCTATAAATGGAGTAAATTACTGTACCTACTTCAGAGGACTGCTATAAGGATTAGAAGAGTAAATATATGACAAGCACATAGAACAGTGTCTGGCCCATGGTCAATACTCTACAGATATTTGCTATTATTGCTGCTGTTATTATTCCTGTTTTATTTCAGATGAGGCTGAGGCTCAGTGGGGTTGCATGATCTACTTGAAGTCCTACTGCTAGTTAGTACAGTGGTCGGCAAGCTGCGGCTCGCGAGCCACATGCGGCTCTTTGGCCCCTTGAGTGTGGCCACGAAGTTTCAGTCGCACTGTACGTGCGCACCCGCACATGGCATTTTGTGGAAGAGCCACACTCAAGGGGCCGCAGTTTGCCGACCTCTGAGTTAGTAGAACCAGGAGAGGGTCCCAGTCAGTCTGACGCCTGCGCCTGGGCCCTTAACCACTGTGCTACTCTGCCCCATACCATGCTGAGCTCAGCTTTCCACTCTTCCAGGAAGCCTTCCTGGATTTCCCCATATCGCCACAGGACTGCGTCTATGCCTCTCTCACAGCTCTAACTACTCCGTGGGGAGCCACTCTACCTCTGTCATGGGGCTTTAAACTCCTCCAGGACTGTGCTGATCAGCCTTCAAGTCCCCAAGGCATAGACAAAGCCTGGTCCGGAGGAGGAACCCCATGAGAGTTTGCTGAGCAAATGCATGTGACGGAATGGTGCCCCACCTATGGCCCCAACCTTTGGCCCCCACCATTCCCCACTAACCTGCAGCTCTCCTTCTCCGACGGCTCCACAGTGAGGTAGTACAGGTCTCTGGAGAGGTGATATGGGTCACTTCTGGGTGACCCCCAGGCACTGGCCTTGATGGACCACAGCAGGCCAAGGAGCAGCAGCAAGCCGCCTGCCCCAAAGCAGATGAAGCTGATGGACCTGAGCAGGGACCCGGGGGCCTCAGGCGCAGGGTACCCAGCGGGTGGGGCCGGCTGGCTGGGTTGAACACCCTTATCCCCTTCACTCCACCACGCGAAGCAGAGCGTCCCGGCGATCAGAAACACTGTGCCGCTGACCGACACGCAGTAGCGGAGGGTGGAGGCCACTCGGCCCCTGTCACAGTTCTGGACATGCAGGAAGAAAGAGGAGAAGAAACGGGCATGAGAGCAGCCTGCCAAGTGCTGGGAACCTGGGCTTTAGTTCTCCTCCACCTGAGGTCACTGGGCCACCTTGGAGAGGTCATTTGAGTTCTCTGTGCCTCAGTGTCCTCATCCGTGTAATGGAGATGATGCTCCTAACTTTGCGGGGCTGTTCTGAAGGTCACAGTTAATGTGTCTGACGTTGCTAGCACCACGCCTGGGATCGAGCAGGAGTTCAGTAAGCGGCGATGTTTGCTCCGGGCCCCTCCAGGCCTCAGAGGCCTCATCTGCCCAGTGGGTATAAGACTCCACAGGCCGGGAGGGAGAAGAGGAACACCCCTGGGCTCCATCAGGCCTGCCAGGACCGGGCTGGCTGGCTACACATGCCTCACTTCACCCAGTCACAGTCCCCAGAGGTCGACAGTGTCGCCTCCACCTGACAGAGGAAGACACGCACTGCAGGACAGCAAAGGAGCGAGCGCGAAGGAGGGCGCTGAGACGTCTGGAGGTAAAATTCATGATCTGAAGCAAAACTGTGCACAGAAATGCCCACTGTGGCCTTATTTATAATGATCCTAATTTGGAAAGAGCCAAAATGTCCAACTCTGGGGAAATGGTGAGTAAACCATGGCACAACCTCTAGATGGACTATTAAGGACTTATTTTAAAAAATCAAGCTCAGCACAAATGTTCAACAACAGGAGGGAAATGTTTTTGATATCTTACTTTTTTTCAACTAATTATCCAAAAAGTGTTATCTCAACTAGGTAAAGAAAAAATGCACAGAAAAAAAAACAAAAAAACACTGTGAGGAAGCCTGGCCCCAGACAGGAAGGGGCTAAAACATGCGTCTGTGTGGTCCCCAAAGGCATTGTACTATTCTCTTCCTGGTAATTGCCCATTATCTCCCCTCAAGGCTCAGCTCAGCCCCACCCAAGAAACCTTTGCCGGTGACACTTTAAATACCCAATCCCCTCGGCCTTATTGGACCACAGTGCTTACCTGTCCGTGATTAACTTCTCCTTTGCCGTCCACATTGGCCCTGTTCACTGCTCCATCCCCCAATGCCTAGCACATGATAGCTGCTAAATAAAGATTTGTTGAAGAAATTCCTTTAAATGAGGGGGAAGTGTTGCTGGCCAAATATTTGTTGTGTGAAAAGCCTGCTCACAGCTGGAAGAGCTGGGTGAGGGAGGATCCCAGAGGATCCCAGCTGCTTCAGCACCCAGCCATGAAGCAGAGGCCTGGCTCTGGTCCCCACACTGCCGCTCACTGGCTGCGCCCTGGGCTGAGCCTCTCCACTGCTCTGGGCCTGCTGCCTCATCGGTACAAGGAGCAGGTGCTCCAGCAGGCTGCAAGGAGAGCTCAGTGTGGTACCATCTCCCCTCCCAAAAGCTGAGCCAGAGAAGCAGGGAACTCACAGACCTCAGAGAGATTCAATGGCCAGAAAGGCCTTCCAAATGGGAGTTTACCCAGCCCGAAGTGGTACATCAGACGATGCCCTGGGGGGCAGCTACCCCAAGGCATGCTCCTAGGGGAGCAGAGGGGTGTGCACAATGTTCAAGATACAGTGGATAAAGCTTCAGCTTTCAAAAGGGCCTGTTCGCACCAAGGGGGTGGAGGGAGGGGGGGAAGGGGAAGGGGCTTGAGGAGTGCAAACTTCCTGTTACTGCACAGGGAACAGAGTCAATAAAATCGTAATAAACTATGTACAGTGGCAGATGGTTACTAGCTTTATTGTGGTGATCACTCTGTAAGGTAGATAAATGTTGAATAACGATGTTGTACACCTGAAACTAATGTAATACTGTATGTCAATTATAATCAAAAATAAATTAATTTTTTAAAAAAGAGTATGTTCCCAAATGTGTTTTAAAATGTGTGTGTGGTGCCCTGGCCGTGTGGCTCAGTTGGCTGGAGCGTCGTCCCGTACACCCCAAGGCTGCAGGTTTGATTCCCAGTCAGGGCACATACCTAGGTTGAGGGTTCACTCCCTGGTCAGGGTGCATACAGGAGACAACCAATCAATGTTTCGCTCTCACATTGCTACCTCTCTTTATCTTTCTCATCAATTAAAAAAATAATTAACAAATGATATTAAATTAAATGTGTGGGGTTAAGAAATAAATCCACCCATGTTATCAAAAAGAAAATGTGTGTGATCCAGCCGATGTGGCCCAGTGGCTGAGTGTCGACCTATGAACCAGGAGGTCACAGTTTGATTCCTGGTCAGGGCACATGCCCGGGTTTCGGGCTCAGTCCCCAGTGGAGGTGGGTGTGCAGGAGACAGTTGGTCAATGATTCTTTCTCATCATTGATGTTTCTATGTCTCTCTCCCTGTCCCTTCCTCTCTGAAATCAATAAAAAAATATATTTTTTAAAGTGTATGGGTGTATGTGTGTGCATGCACATGTGGGAGAGAGAATCTATAATATACCCCAATCCCCCTGGGCCATTTGCAAATTACCTGCAGTTCTCTGCCTGTGGATCTGTCTTTGGGGCAACTGCCTCCTGACTCCAGCTCAGACATTTTCATGGGGGAAGAAAAGAACCTGACTACCCTCCCCCACAAAGTCAAACAGCAAGTAGAGGCTGTTGAGTAGAATAGGGAAACTGAGGCAGATAGCTGCATGAACCGGCCGAGCAATTTCCAGCCAGATACAAAAGGTCACCTCCCTAGAGATAGCGTGTAGGCCTCAATAGTATTTCAGCTCCAGGCCCAGAAAAGCAGCAATGTTTTGTGGGCAACTCCCGGACCAGCTGCAATGACTAATGACCCTGCCCTGGTGCTGACCAATCAGTAGAGACCACAACCCTAAAGGTCGTGGAAAAGCTGATGAATATTTTATTGAAATCTCCTCTAAGACCGCCCCTAAATTCCCAGCCTTTAAAAACCCTCAAAACAAAGGACCCAGCGGGTGCTCCCCTCCCTGGAGTAAGCTCTCGCCTTTCCCTTTCCTCTTCTTCCCCTGTAGGAGTGCATCTCCTAACTTGTAAAGGTCCCCATGAGATTTGCAACCTGTCTCCAGGCCCTATTTTCTCAGACTTTCCAGTGAGCAAAAGCAACCCCACCCAGGCTCTCCTGTGGCTTCTTCCATCCTAAGCCCTTCCGTGTTTCCCTGAACCCAGCTCTAATAAAGGACTCTCAATCACCTGGGCTCCGGTTGTGAAATCTTTCCTGCACAAGGTCAAGAACCCACACACTGCCCGGCTAGTGTAGCTCAGTGGTTGAGTATCGACCTATGAGTCAGGGAGTCATGGTTCAATTCTGGGTCAGGGCACATGCCCAGGCTGCAGGCTCTATCCCCAGTAGTGGGCATGCAAAAGGCAGCTGATCAATGATGAGTGATTCTCATCATTAATGTTTTTTTCTCTCTCCCTCTCCTTTCCTCACTGAAATGAATAAAAATGTATTTAAAACACACACACACACACACACACACACACACTGCTAGCCAGCCCTAGGTAGACCCGCTAAGGGCCCGGTAACAACCTCTCACACTTGTGTACACGGTACCCTGATGGGGGAGGAAGAAAGAACTCCCTGCCCTGGAGGGAATAGCCCCAACCCCAGAGAAGCCCTGATCCCGGCACTCAGCCTGCCAGACTGGCGCCCTCCTCACCTCCCTCTCCCTCACCCTCCCACACACACACACATCCCAACTCCTGCCACCTGGGGGCCTCTACACCTGTTGCTCTCCCAGGCTGGGGAGCCCTCTGTCCTCATCCAGGGCCCTCATTCCACAGCCCCTCCCCCTCAAGACCCAGCCCAACACCTCATCTTCCCAGAAGTCTCCCCGCTGCTGTCACCCTCGCCTCCCACCAGCCAGAGGTGGCCTTTTCTTGCATCTGATGGGTGGCCCCGCTGACTGTGGCCATTCTATCTGTCCGCTCTGCGACCTTGATCAGGCAGCTCAACGTCTCTGAGCTCAAATTCCTACCTCCCGGGGAGGAGGAGTAAGTTGTGAAGATGAGGTGGGGAGATGGCAAGCTGTAGTGAAGCACGGTGAGGCCAGGGGAGCTGGACAGAGAATGGCCCTGCTCTGATCCTGGGCGGGTTACCTCGCTTCTCCATGCCCCCCTCCCTCCTCTGTGAAATGGGCACAATAACACCGTGCTGTCCTGCTACCAACAAGGGAACTTGAGGTGCCAGTTTGCTGTAAAGAACTGAACCATGTCGTCTAATCCAGAAGTGGCCCAGCCATCTCCACCTAAACCGAGGTCCTGTGCGCCTGGGCCCCAGGCCGCTCAGCGAGGCAGCACACGGAGGAGAGCCGAGGTGCAGACTGCCCAGCAAGGCCCCGCGGTCGATCAGGGTGAGGGGAAGGGACCCGACGGGCTGGGCGTCAGCGGAGCCTGGATGCTCCCGAAGGAGCGAGAGCAGGAAGCTCGTACCCACCTGGGGCGCAGCCATCACTCGCGGGCGTCAGGGGCGGTCCAGGCGCGGGGACCCGGGGGGCAGAGGCATGGTGGCTGTCGGACGGATAGCGGCGAGCACCTGGAAACCAGTCCCTCGGGTGTGCAGGGGGCGCCGGCCGGGAGGGGGTGGCCCTGGCGACGGTCCCGAGCCCCCCTCTCGGCGCCGCGCAGAAGCGCTAAGGTCGGGTCCGGGTCTCGTCCTGGGATCTCGCCTGTCTCCTACCCGCAGCCGCGTCCGTCGGGGCCGCCGCCGCCTCCCCGCACCCGAGCGCAGGTGCCGAGCCGGCTTCACCCGCAGGCGCGGTCCCCGGCTGCGCGCACCAGCAGCTCATCGGCTACCCCACGGGCTCGCCCAGGACCGGCGAGGTGACCGCCCGGCCCTGGCCCTGGCTCGGCCGACTGCGGACCTGCCCTCTGGGCTCGGGCTCTGGGCGGGGCCCGCCGCACCTTTCCTGGGATCCGCGTCCTTGCGGGCCGCGGGTGCTGGCGGAGACTCCGGGACCAGCTCCCGCGACTCCGGGGCGGCTCCCGGTGCCGCCCCGCCCGGCCTTAAAGCGAAAGCGCGAGTGGGGCTGGCGAGGGTTACGGTTTTCCTGCACCGGGAGCGCCGAGGCCGCTGTTACCGGAACCACCCTGGAACAGCAGGGAATCATCTGGCCTCGGGGCTGTCCTGCCCACATACGTACCCCCCTTCCCGGGGGTGGGGGAGAGAGGGCTTGGGAAGGAGACGACTGCTCCGGGAGCCACCGATGCCCAGCCAGAGAGGGATCTAGGATTCCGGAGCTCCCCGCCTCCCCCCCTTCTCACTCCCACTTTACAGCAAGGGAGACTGAGACCCAACGCGGGAAAGTCGCAGGCCTAAGTGCTCTACCGCAAACTACGTTTAGGCAACTGGCTGAACTGGCTTTTCTTCTCCCTGAGGTCAGTCTGAGAGCCAGCGCTAAGGGAGACCCGCAAGACCTCACCTGGAGGAAGTCAGTCTCAGAAATAAAGGCCGCCTGTGGTGCTTCCCTGGCTCCTGCCCAAGCTCCTGGGAGAATGGGGCTTGAAAGCAGGCCTCCCACCTGATGGGAGACCTCCCCTCTGAGCCTTCCTCCGTGTAAAGGAGGCCTGAGATTCAGATCCGTGAGGGTGGGCCCGCCGGGCGGGGCGGGGCTCAGTGGTGGAGTGGCGCTCTATGAACCAGGAGGTTACGTTCCATCAGGGCACATGCCCCGTTGCAGGTTCGATCCCCAATGTGGGGTGTTCAGGAGGCAGCCAATCAATGATTCTCTCTTATCATTGATGTTTCTATCTCTCTCTTCCTCTCTGAAATGAATAAAAATATATATTTTTTAAAAACTGTGAGGACTGAATGAGTTAAGCACTTGAGGTTAAGCACTGAGCATCTAGCAAGTGCAGGGTAACAGCAGTTTTTGTGGGCTGGTTTTTGGGGTATCTGGAGGGAGGACCAGCTGTGTGTGCGTGCGTGCGTGTACGTGTGTGTACGTGTGTGTGTGTGCGTGTGCGCGTGCGTGTGTGCATGTGTGTGCATTCTTCTATGGGAGGACACTGGAGTTATCTTAGAAAGGTGGGAATGGGGCAGAGCATCCAGGCTGGAGGAGTAGCAGGTGCAAAGCCTGGACAAAGTCACAGGCTGCTTAAACCTTGACAAGTTCATGTGGGTCAGAGGGAGCTGATTCCCAGGCCAGCCTAGGTCTGTCTGGGTTTTGGTTTTGTCTTTTCCTGCTGCTCTAATAAGGCAGGGACTGGGCAGGGCCTGAGTCCCCTCATCCATGCCAGGGAGTCCCCACAGAGCTGGCAGGGTCACTCTCAAATTACAATGGCTCTATTTGAGAGTCTCCTTAGTCAGTGGTGACCTCTCTGAGGGCAAGGACTAGGTGTGACTTGGCTCAAGACCCAGCAGGGCCAGGATCACTGGGACTAGGTCCCGATTGGAACCCAGGAATCTGGCCCGTTCTCCTGGCTCCGTCTTCCTCTTCCCCACCTTTTGGGGTCTCTGGGGAGCCCCACGGGCTTGGATATACTCAAGACCCTTTCTGAACAAGCAGCCTCAGATATTCCCTGGCACCAGGTTGGAGACTCAGAGGAGAAAATCGTCACCAGCTTTTGCTTCTAGGGGGTGCACCCACGTATTACGAACATCACCAGCCAGCTGGTTTTCATTTTTTAAAAATAATTTTATTTTTCAATTACAGTTGATGTACAATATTATATTTGTTTTTCTTGTTAATTATCACTCAGTGAAATCATCGAGGCTGGGAGACAAGTGCCTTGCCCAGAGTCGCACAGTCAGTACATGAGGAGTAGGGAGTCGGGTGGGGAGAGGAGGTGCCAAAAACCATGTTGTTCTGAATCTTCCAGACCCTTATCAGCATATCCCCCTTCACAGTCTGTAAAGGGAGAAAAACATTTCCCTAAATGCAGCCTCATCTGCACAAGCTCTGCCCACCCTCCTGCCCCACCTCCCCACCCTCTTGGGCCCACGGCCACATTTGGAGAAGCAATAAGCACTGGAGTCAGGCCTCTTATGGCTGTTATGAGGGTTAACTGAGTTATTATACGATGTGCTTAGCAACAGTGATCGGCTTATAGTAAGTACTTAGTAATATTGGCTATTATTATTATTATTATTATATCTGTAAGTGGAAGAGAAGCAATGAGAGAAACCATGACCTTCCTGGCAGAGCATCCTCCCTCCCTCCCCCCTCCTGCCTCCAGGACAGGGGTCCAGCATCCTTTTGCAGGACCACATCCTAGAGACAACCAACTACTGTAACATGGTGATATAACTCTTTCTAAGTGTACACATTTTACAAAAATCTGGTCATACACAGCATACCCTTTGTAATAGTTTTTATTTTCATTTCACAGAATTCATCATGAACATCTTCCCATATCTCACTGCATTCTAGTTATTCACTTACATGTCTGGCTCCCCTGTAGACAGCACCTTGAGGGCACATATGGACATCTCATGTCCTTCCCCGTCCCTCGTGCCATCTCAAAGCTGGCACGTAGTAGGACCACCATGAATATAAGTCGTGAACAGCATGGGATATACAATAGCGGTGGGTGGTTCTGTCCCCTGCCCAGGAGCACAGCTCATTCCCATAGGGAGGGAAGAAGACTCAGGGAGTGGGGGCATCTCAAGGTCTGCCAACTCTGCAGCCAAGGCAGGTCAAGATCTAGCATGGGAATATCTTTAAAGATAAGTCTCTGAGCACATTCATTAATGCCAAATAGTAGCAGGATTCAGAGGTTTGACTTCCTGAAAGAGGGGGTTTAGGCCAGTGTTCTCATCCCCAGGCAATTTTGCCTGCCCCAACCCCCAGAGAACATCTGACAATGTGTAGAGACATTTTTGATTGTCACAACAGTAATAACTGGTGGGGCAATGCCACTGCATCTAAACATCCCGCAGCGCATGAAAGGGAAAGGGCTACGCCCTCCATCTTGCCCCGAATCCTCCATTTTGGGCAGCAGCCATGTGCTCAGCAAGGAGCTTCTTCCCGGAAGCCCAAACCTCTGCTAGCCACACCTAGGATTTCTTTAAACTAACCAATGATAATCAAGGGAAGTGCGCGCCATAGATATGACCACATCCTGTGTAACAAGACACCTACTTGCACCTGGCCAATTGGCAGGGCCCACAGTCCTCTCTCCTCCCCTTACTATAAAACCCCTCTCCCCACAGGGCTGGCTCTCTGCCACTTGCTGCTGCGTCAGTAAGGAGGGTAGGGGAGCCAAACCCGGGTTTGAATAAAAGACTCTCTGCTTTTGCATCGGACTCTGCTGGCTCCCTGGTGGTCTTTTGGGGATCCTGAAATCTGGGCTTAACATTTGGGGGCTCATCCGGGATCCCCAAGACCCTCAAGGGACCCCCGATCCGGATAGTCTGACTGGCTGCGGTAGGTGTCTCTGTGTTGTGTATTCTGTTCTGTGTGATATATGTTCTGTCCTGTGTGAGCTCACTTCTGAAATTCTGTAGTGCCCGAAGCAGTCTAGGTGGACGCACTGCTGAAGGACCACGGGCGGGGGAAAGTTGGAAGACGTTCCGCTCCCCAGGAGGGATGCGTATTCCCCTCATGAGGGATGTGGTTTCCCCTCACGGATTTGAGACGAGGTGGGTCGCTCCCGCTGGTTTGGTGTAAGGCCATCGTCTAGCTTTCGAGTTTGCTTCCATGGAGTTGGAAGGCTGTACTTTTTTGGGGCCCTTTAGTTGTCTGTGTTTGTGTTGTTGTTTTTTTCTGTTTTATTCTGTGGACTTACTGGACGGACATTATGGGACAGACTCAAACTACTCCTTTAAGCATTATGGTCGTTTTAAAGTCAAGGGCTGGGCCAAACATGCTTGCCAGCCTCAGGTGTGGTTTTCCAGGGCGGCTGCGGTGAGCCTTGAAGCCTAGGATGCGGACCTGGGTGGAGCTGCTGCAAGTGCAGATCTTGGTGGTAGTAGCAAATAATTTAAAGTCCTTCTTGTAATTGAAAAGTTTTACAAAATTTAAAAATGTGTCTGGGATTTCTGTGCACGTGTAAAGAGAAAAGTGGCTTGAAACTAATGCGCTCATTGTCCGATTTCGGATTAGATAGAGTTTTGAGCTGGAATCTCTTTACAAATGTACAAAATAAAACCCCAAGACTGATTATTTCCTGGGAAAGATGGCAAATTTTACCCAAAGGAAAAAAGATGCTAGCTAGATTCTAGCAGAAGGATTGGTGTTTCCATAATAAAGAACAGTTTTTAAATGCTAACGAAGGGTGTTAAGGCTGGCTTCCCAAGGAAGAATGTGGTCAATTTACATCTGAAAAGATCAGGTAGGCCAGAACCTGTTTTGCAAGGCTCAAATGTGGTTTTCCAGAGCCGCTTGAAAGTAAAAAGTAAAGTTTACTCTAATTTGCCTCATGAAAAATCTAGAGAACAAAATTAAATCTGTTAGTTGAGTATTGAGAAATGCTGAATATTTAACTTGCCAGCTAAAAGTTTAAGGTTCGGATTGAATTGGGAAAAATTATGTAATTGTAATAACTAAATGCCTTTGCTTATTGGTCTGATTGAGAAGGGAGGATTGATTTTGTGACCTCAACTGAAGATTTCTGATGCAAGGACCAGTTTAAATTTAATTAATATTCTTTAAAATGATTATAACAGGTATAAACAGCTAATAAGATTTCTGTTTGTCTGAAATACAGCCACCATTTTGAGCTGCATGACTTGGCAGCTGCCATGTCAGCCACATGGCTTGCCGCTCCCCTGGGGGCCGCCATCTTGAAACAGCAAAGGCCCTTCCCTCTTTAAGGAGATGTTTTGCTGCAGGAATGTGGATGGGGCAGGAAGTGTGCTTGCCTGCGGATTTATTTTTAAGCCAATCTCTTAAATCTAGAAAACCCTGCTTTCCTTAAACTAAGGACAATTAAAGGTTATGTCAAAGTCTTTAAAAGGAACTGATAGCAGTAATCCAATTTCT